TATTTGTCATTGGTATTTTAGAGGAGAACTGCATATTTTTACGCATATGTTTCTAAAAACGCTTGCATATGATCCAGTCTCTAGTTCTAACATTCGCATGCCCAGGCGCTGCGGCTGAGCGCGGGCCAGCTGCGGCCGGGGGCGTCGGGCGCGCTGGTGGCGCTCCTGGCGGCGGACGCGGCGCGCATCCCCATGGCCTTCCAGCGCGGCCACTTCCTGTGGCTGGGCCCCGCGCACGCCGTGGCCGCCGCCGCCATGCTCTACCACCAGGCCGGCTGGGCCGCCGTGTGCAGCGCCGCCGCTATGCTGCTCTGCACTGTGCCGCTACAAGGTACTCCATTCAGCTTGTTTGGGCTTTCAAAACAGGTTTCAGTGGCCGAATGTCCGTGTCCACTTGCCGTGCCGCGTTTTCAGTTCGTTATAAGTAGTTTGACTCCTGATCTGGGCTGTCCGGGTGACGCCGCGTCGAAGGCTGAGGTGCCGACGTTTCGACCTATTCTTTTTCGACCGGACGTTTCGATCGCGGTCCTCGTCAGGGCTGTACTAAGATTCAGCAGAGGACCGCGGTATGTCGGTCGAAACGTCTCCGGTACCTCAGTCTTCGGCGCGACGTCACCCAGACAGCCCAGATCATACTCTGGCCGCGGAAGCCTACGATATAGTTTGACTCCTGTTAACCTGTCCTGAATTTTTTTAGGTAGTGAATTTTTTGTTTATTTTTGTTTGTACATTACAACAATTGAACAATGAAACAATTGAATGTAACAAAAGAAAGTAGAAACCAAAACTCTGCTTTTTTTACAAAGTATATTTATTGCTACATAAGTAACTTTTTATCATGAACTAATCAACGAATTTAATTGAAAATATCAAGGTAGTTTAAACATTCACAAATGCACATTTTGACAATTTGTTTTTTATATTCAATTTTTAAACAATTCTATACATTTTTGAGCTAACAAGTTTGCAAACTTCACTTATAAGATCATTCAAAACAATTTGCTCCTGCACATTTCACAAAATAGTTAAACAAAGAATGTCAAAATGTGAATAAATGTACACTTCAACTATAGAACAAGATTGAAAATCATCAGCCTATTGGGAAAAAAAATATTTATGTTAAAATGGTTTAGTAAAGAACACTCGTATAAGGTTCCCTTGACAGTTAGGGCCAAATGAATAATTTCAAATTTGTATTCTACGCGTTTTATGTTTTTCTCTACCTGCTGGTGAAGGAAAATAGAACCCGAGCGTTGGGTCATGCGTGGCAGATACTTTGCGCGTACACGACGCACGTGCATTCGCTCCGCTCTCCCGAGAGTGCGTGTACATGTGCGCCTCGTTGCGGTGTGCGCGTGACCCGTAACTGCCCCCCTGCGCGCATGTGCACACATCAGTCTCTTTGCCACGAACGCATGCGATGTACCTGCTGCCCGTGCGTGAGCACAGTGCGGCAGAGCCACGTGGTTGCCTTTCATGGGCGAGTGTCGTGTGCGCAGCGGTGCTGGGGCGCTTGCTGGCCCGTCTGGGGCTGCGCGTGGGCCCGCTGGCGGACGAGCGACTGCGCCTGCTGGGAGAGGTGCTGGGCAACATCCGCGCCATCAAGATGGCGGCCTGGGAGGACGCCTTCGAGCAGCAGCTGTTGCAAGCGCGCAGGTCAGCCCATTGAACAAGGAAGGCTAAACGCTGTATAGGATAGTGGCTAATTTATGGACAACCTGCCATGATTTCTGAATAGTTTATTTTATAGATTGAAAACTGTCCTTTGTCAACAGATTAGGTGTTCCTGAAGTTATTGCTTAAAGAGAACACTTTTCGTTATCCGAGTTTGGTTGACTTTACTTATAAAAAAGGTGATCAATTAACTGACCACCATCCACGTGTGGTGTGTATTTGCCGCCATTTTCAGTAAACGAGCTAATGTTATCACGCTAAAAATAATATTATTAAGAAAATTCGTTAAATCTAAGGCGTGTACGACATATATTTCATTAAAAGTCACGTTTTCTACATTATACACAATGCCAGTCACCTTTTTACAATAAGAAGTTGGAGACTTTTCAAAAGAGCCGATTTTGATAATAATTTCACTATGTTATAAAATGTTCGGGAAGGGGTCTGGGTTCATGAAGTTGTGAATTATTTGTTCCCTGCCCAGCAACTTGGCGCACTCGATGTAAGATCCAAAAACAACCTGAACGCTTCGAGAATTGAGTAGTCATGATCCAAGAGGTTCCACGAGTTTTGGATTGGTTATTATATGTTAAATTTTCGATTAACAGAATAATATCTCAGTAAATTGCAGACTATGTAGGAAATTTAAGAAGGGAAATTGAGTCAATAAATAAGTTGGTTGAGAAAAGTTATATTTTATAAAAACCGTTTCAAGCAGTTGGCGAGATATACTTTGATAATAAGTAACTTTCAGAAGATTGAGATGTTACAAAGAGTTTTTTTTGTATTCCAGCATTATGAATCACCATTGAACCGAAATGTTTACTCGTTTATGATGTCGCTTTATAGCAGTCGTACACATTTGAAAAATCGCTCCTAACGTCGCTCGTTTTCAAAATATGTACTCTTACAATAAAGATTACCATTATAAAGTAATTGCAAAACTACTGTTATGACGTTTCCACCCTAATTCAAGGCTGGCACAAGGTTATTTTGAGCCCCAAGCCAAATAAGGTGTTTACGCCCTCAAATAAAATTATTTTTATTACTATTATTATCATTATTATTATTATTATTATTATTATTATCTCCAGAAAATATTTTTAAGTAAACTATTTATATACACATCTGTGAGAGTATGAATTCGGTTCTCTCGTTCCAACTCTCAAGTTATCTCTTTCTAACATTCTTTTACCATCAAGATATGTTCATCAAATATTATATCCTAATAATTTGTAGAGGAAATGTAATCAGATAAAAATACTTGATTGAGGTAAATAATGAACACCTATACTAATTATTAGTGTTCAGAAGATAAACATAGATACAATAATGCAGAAATAAAATAAATTCCCTAATTAATGAAAGAATAATAAATTATGTATTTCGAAGCTTTCTTCTTATAAAATGAATAATTAATATGGTCATTACAAATAACCTCAAATAAAAAATTACTTGATATTTATTTTTTTTTAAATGTACAAAAACGTTGCCCCTTGCCGTTGGCGATCGCCCTAGTTTGCTTTTAGAAAGAATTGTTTCTGCCCCAAACACTGAGCATGTTGGCAGCCGTGAGCGATGAGCGTGCGTGCGCCTCTAGGTAGCCCCGTCCCTGCCACAAATAACGAGCATGCTGGCAGCCGTGCCTGATGAGCGTGTGTGCGCCTCTAGGTAGCTCCGTCCTTACCGCAGATAAAGGGCATGTTGGCAGATAGGCGAGCGTGCGTGCATGGATTGCAGGAACGAGGAGCGCAGCCAGCGGCCGGCGCGCCTGGTGGGCGTGGTCTTCCTGAGCATGTTGCTCTTCTCCATCCACCTGGCCAGCGTCGCCTTCTTCACGGCGTCCACGCTGCTGGGCTGGCGGCCGCAGATCCAGCACATCATGATCATGATGCAGCACATGTACTTCCTCAACATCGCGCTCAACCTCTACTTCCCGCGCGCCGCCAGCGCCGTCTCGGACGGCCTCGTCTCCGTCCGACGCATCAAGGTGCCTGAAGCGCGTTTTGGTTGTTTTTAAACGGGTGGTAACCCTTAGACATTAATAAAATTTTACCTTTATAAAATGAAAAATAGTTACAATGTATAACCCATTAAATTACTTAGTACTGAAATACAGAAACAAATATAATGCAATTGAGACACAAACAATAATACCACAAACAGAATAACACGCGAATGAGTTTGGCATTGAAAGCTGAGAGTGAGGTACCAAAATAATCAATAAGATTTTATAACGACACTTATTTCCATTCGTTAGACATCCGGAAGTCCATATTATAATTTTACTATGATTTTGGTGTAACTTCTTACATTATTTGTCAAGAAAGGTAAAGAAAAGTTGCATTTGTTACATTAGAAAAAAATTGTGCATTAGTAGCCGTTGGTCTATTAGGCTTTGTTGTATGAGCACATGTAGATACCCAAACATATTTTAAATCAGCAGTTATTGCTCTGCCAACAGGACTTAAATTCGTTAGATGGTTAGCTACACTGAACGGATCACAATTATCATATAATACACCATTACTCTGATTAATATGATTTGTATTTTTATTCACTGTTGATGGCCTAACAAGTATTATTTAACAAACTCAATAATTCTCATCACAGTCTTCATCATACTTACTATGTAGAAGTTCATTTACATAACTTCGATAAGCAACGTCGATTAGAAGAGATCGTGAAAATGCGTTTGTTTGCGGGCAGGAGTACCTGCTGCGTGAGGAGCGACCGGAACCCGCGGTGCCGGCTAAGGGCGACGCGCTGCGGCTCCCGCCCGGCGCCCTCCCCGGACAAGTGATCAAGTTGTCGCCCTCTACGCCCCCGCTTCTGCGCGGGGCTGTGCTGCTGCGCGACGCGGACGTGTGCTGGACGCAGGGCACGCCCGCCGTGCTGCGCGCGTTGCGCCTGCGCCTGGCGCCCGGCCAGCTCTGCGCCATCGTGGGGCCCGTGGGCTCAGGAAAGGTAAACCTTTGCGACGGTTGACTTCCCCGGTGACAAACTGAGGAATCGGAGGGCGAGGAGGTCGTGTGGGAAGCGGAAGAGGGCAAGGTGTAGTTTCACTGTTTCTGTGCTGGCGTCCTGCAGCTCTGTAGCATCGCGGGGCCCATGGGCTCAGAAAGGTAACCACTCGGTGACGGTTGGCTCCCCGCCAGCGGCGAACATTCTATGTATAACAGGAGAGGGGCCTGGAGGTTGTGTAGTAGGCTAAGATGGCAAGGTGTAATTTCGTGTCTGCGGCCTGGCCGGGCAACTATGCGCCATCGTGGGGGACCGTGGCCTTCAGAAAGGTAACATTCTGACGGTTGCTGCCCGCAGGCGGCGACACTCTAGGAAAAATACAGAGAGGGCCTGGAAGGTTGTGTAGTAGGTAAAGGCAGAGTGTGGCATTTTCCGTGTCTGCGCCTGCGCCCGGCCAGCTCTGGCCATCGTGGGGGCTCCGTGGGCTCAGAAAGGTACTCTGGCGACGGTTTGGCTCTCCGCAGGCAGCCGACACTCTAGGAATACAAGAGAGGGCCTGGGGTTGTGTAGTAGGTAACCGATGGCATAGGGTGTATCCGTGTCCTGCGCCTGGCGCCTCGGGCCAACTAATGCGCCATCGGTGGGAACCATGGGCTTCAGACAAAGGTATACATTTGTGACGGTTGCTCCCGCAGGCGGCGTAAACATTCTAAGTATACATGGAGGGCGTGAAGGATTGGGTGAGGGGAGGAAAAGAGGGCAAAGTGTAGTTCCTGTGGCTGTCCACTGGGCAGTCGGGGCTGTAACTTAGGTTGTAGAGAATGGGGAGTGGTAGGCAGAGGGTAAGCGAGGCGTGGGTCGTTGTCTCCGCGCCATTCTCTGCTGCGAACAAAGTAAGCCTCGGACTGGATTGCTTTCGCGATCGTGGCGTGATAGAGTGGGAGTCAGTCCCGTGCACCATGTTTGTCCTAATGGAAGACCCACGTACTGTGTTAAGTTACTTGGTCTCGTCACGGAGCACCGATGACGGGCTGGGAAAACACACGAATGCGTGGGGAGGGCGCGGTGTCAGTGTGCTCCAATGGTAAGCTCTCGTCAGTCAGCGGATTTGTTGTTTGATTGTTGCCGGAAAATGTGCTACTACACGAGGTGCTTTGGTAGAGTATGTGCGCGAACGATGGTTTGCAGTGCCCATGAAGGTATTAACATGAAGACCAAACATGCCTCTTTATTTGTTTGGAATGTTTCTCTCGGTGTTTCACAAAGATGCTGCTGGTGAATATTAGAGCGGCGTGGCAAGCTGTCTATACGAGGGGGTGCCCCTTGATTGAGCTCGTCAATTATTACTGCTGCTGGCGCCTGGGACGTGGGCTGTGTCCGGGAGCGATGCCTTGGGAGGTACGTGAAGGGGATCCGTTACCTGTGGCTTAAAGAGAGACGATAGACCCAGACTGAAACTCCGGTGTCCTGGTCATTTGTTCTGGTCTGCCCACTACGCTGTCCTAAACGCTGAGCGAGACGATGTGATGGGGCGGGTGCGATGATAGGGCTACCTAAGGAGGAGTCGTGTCCATGTGCTATACGTAGAAGACCATAATCAGTACTCTTGTTCGGTGTGTTATGTCGCAAGACGCCGCTGCTGCTAGCGCGGCGGGCGAGCTGTGAGCGAGCGGTGGGCGAGGAAGGAAGATGTAGGGGTCCGTTCCAATGTGGTTTAATAAGACGACAATGCCTAACTGTTTGGTTGCCTGTCAGTTGATTGTGTACGGAGCCTGCTGCTGGCTAGTGGTGGCGAAAGGCTGTGTGGGCCGCGGCGAAGCCGTGGTGGGCTGGTGCATGGGAAAATCATATCCCAATTGGTTTTAAGGGAAACCACGTCTGCCTGGCGGTTGCCTTGGCAAAGTTGTGTTCACAGGCTGGTGCTGATCTTCCGCTGGCAGGCGGCGGGGGGCGGGAGGGGGTGAGGCGGGGTGACATAAGTAAGGGCAATCCGCAAAAGGCGGCATGGCGGCCTGTTCTCTCGCTGGCGAGGACTAATGTAGACAGGGTGGCGGGGGTTGTAGAGAAGAGAGTCGTGGCCCTGTGTTAGAGAAGGAAGACCAATGTCAGTATCTCTTGTTTTTCGTGTGGTTGTGTCCGCAGACGGCGCTGCTGCTGCGCTGGCCGGGCGAGCCTGTTGGCGGGTGCGTGAGCAGGAGGAAGGATGATGTAGGGTCGTGCACATGTGGTTTTATAGAAGACAATGTCTAACTGTTGGTTGCGTGGTAGTTGATTGTAATACGAGACTGCTTGGTTGGGCTAGCGGCTGGCCGAAGCGAGCGAAGCGTGGTGGGTTGGTGCAGGAGGAGATCACTATTCCAGTGGTTTTAAGGGAGACCAACGTCTGCCTGCGGTTTGCCTTGAAGGTTTGTGTTCACAGGCTGTAACTGACTTTCCGCTGGCAAGGCGAGCTGTGGGTGGGAGGGGGTGGAGGGCGGGGTGACGTAAGAAGGGCGTCGTCCATATGGTTTAATAGGAGACCACGTCAGTCTTATTTGGGCTTGTATGGCCCACTTTGAGAAGTGTCGTACGCAACTCAAAGGGGCGGATGGCGCTGTCCTCTCTCGGATGGCGAGAGCTATTGACAGTCATGTGAATACTCACTAGGACCACCAGACACGAGCTTTCTTATAAAATATATTTATTACAAAGAACAGGACTAATCCAGAAATATTAGTACACTAATAATTTACTTACAACCCTAGCTCTGATGTAGACCTACTATCCCCTAATCGCGGGAGCGATCCAAAACCCGATTGAAGATGGTTTTGATTTGTGGGGCATTCGCCCTCCTACTTTTGAAGCGCGCACACAGCCTAGCTTGCCGTGACCGGATTCCACGCTGGGACCAAAGTCCGTTCTGGCGGCACCACGGCTGAGTTTTGCTCTCGATGTCCGCAGGAGCGATCTTATCCGATTGAGAATCGGCGTGATCGTGGCACTCAACCACTCTTTCACGACTCGGAGCACCGCAATCAGCATGCTCCCCGTGACGCAGTCACCCAAGGACATAAAGTCCGCAGGCTTCCGTCAACGTATGACTCCAGCCTCGGCGAGCCTGGCTTCGCATTGCACCGTCTTGGCGCAAGTTTTGTGGCACACGCACCGAGTCTAACCACCGTCTTCAGAACCTGCCTACTGGCCTTCCGTAGCAGCTCTGTGTATATAGGCGAGGCCTCACGTGACCTACTATCGAATCACGCCACCCGTGTGGAGGGGCATGTGCCTGGATGGCTGATATGATGGCTCTAAGTCCGCTAACATATGGCTTGTTGATTAGCAGGATGCAAAAGCTTAGTATAAGCCGGGAAGACACCCAAAGCCTTGTAGGTACTCAACCGTCTCCAGCGTATTCTCATCCTTATGATAACGGAGATACCCGGTCTGCTTAGTCCTGTGGCGATGACTAATACGCAACCAAGCGTCCCAAATATGATGCCATGAGGCACGCTGGTCTAAGACTACGTTACAACGATGTGAAAGTGGCGGGGTTGTAGATGGACGAGTCGTGACCCATGTGCTTATAGTAGACAAGACCAGTCAGTATCTTGGTTCGTGTGTTGTGGTCCGCAGAACGGCGCGTGCTGCTGGCGCTGGGGCGGGGATGCTGTCGGGCGGGGCGGGTGAGGCTGAGTGGGAGGCATATGGGCGTAGGCGAGTGGTGGCGGGGCGCGTGTATCAGCTGGAGAAGACAGGGCGCGTGGCGTGGGGCGGAGTTCCGTGCGTGACAAACGTCTGCTGGGCGTGCGGAAACATGCGCCCCGCAGAGGTACGCACGCGTGCTGTCCGCGTGCTGCCTGCGCAGGGACAATCCAACGCTTCCCGGCGGGACGAGTCAACCGGTGGGAGAGCGGCGGCTCAGCGCTCAGCGGCGGACAGCGCGGCGCGCCTAAGCCTGGCCAGGTACAGCCCGCACGCATACTCTTGGTCACTGCGCGTCGAGGTTTTCAATTTGGCGTGGAAGAAGGATGCTAACGTTTAACCTGCTCTACATATTCTCCTCGGTGTAATGTGGCTTTGTCTGGTGTGGAATTGCAATTGTTAATACGAATGTAGAGTGTGCATAGTGTAGAGGAGGCGGCGTATCTGCTCTATTATCTTTCTTTGTGTGATGTGCCTTGATGTGGTTGTGTAAGCGTGTGTGGACGCAATGTGGCGCAGGGCGGGTGTAGGAAGGAGTGGAAGCGTGACCTGCTCTGTCCCTGCGTGTATTGGTTTGGATTGTGGCTATGTAATCGTGTTGTGACGAACAAGTGCGCGAGAGGCCGGCTAGGGTGCCGTGTAACGAGGAGGCGGACTGTACTGCTCTAGTTTCAGTCCTCCGTGAGTGCTGATGTGGTGTGGTTGTGGACGAATGTGGCGCAGGGCGGTGTACGAGGAGGCGGACGTGTACCTGCTGGACGACCCGCTGGCAGCCGTGGACGCGCGCGTGGCGCGCTGCCTCTTCGAGCGCTGTGTGGCCGGGCTGCTGCGCGGCGCCACACGTGTCCTCGTCACACACAACCCGCACTTCGCGCAGCGCGCGGACCTCGTCGTCACCATCGACCACAGCGTGAGTTTCCGTCGTTTCCTACGAGGAAGTTTCCGATTTCTCTACAGTCGAAAGCCCCTTGGGCTTTCTAGGTCCAGGCGTTCTAGGACATTTATTTAAATAGGCAAATTATGTATAGTTTGTAAATATTCTTCCTAAAACCACTCACTATTTGGAAGAAAAAGTTCGGAATGTGGTATTCCAAAATCCCTTTCAGTAATTCTTCAGCATGATGTTGCTTTATTGCATTCGTACAAATTTGAAAAATTTACTCGGGCAATAAGGCTAAACATTATAAAATGGTTACATAGTATACCGTTTTTGAACCACAAAGAACGCGAGGGGGGGTGAATGTTGGGCCGCAGACGGTGTCGGTGGCGGAGGGGGACGGCTGGCGCGGCAGCGGCGGCATGGATGACGAGGGGGACGGCGC